CAACAAAGTTGTCAGCTACGTTGGTTAGAAACAGGGTGGATTTGATTTAAATCAAGTTGATTTAAATCACTAGTAAAAAGGCTTGATTTAAATCAACTCGATTTAAATCATAAATTTTTTTTTGAAAAAAAAGTTTTTATTTTATGATCAGACAAATATACAATATAGGCAATCATTCGATATAAACATTTATAAACCCAGCCTTCAACCCCCCCTTCCCACCCCCCCACCCCCGACTTCCCAGAACAAAAACACGGTATAAATTTTACCAAACATACGCTAAAATATGCTAACTTAATGCAAGATTTAAAACTCCCTAGTCCCCTTAACTCCCCTTCTACAAATTATTCATCAGCCTCCCTTTTTTATAAACTCAAAATAACATATAATCCTTTAGCCCTAAGAGTTTTAAAAACATTAACAAACACTAATAGATCATTCAAACCCTAAAAATCTCATAATACATCTGTAAAATATTCTTAGTTCATTTACTTAATCATTTTACTCTTCCTCCTACTTTTATTCTCAAAATTCAAATATTCTAAAAATCTTAATACAACAATAAGTAAATCTTAATTAATCATTAATTGAATTTCTATATTTTCTTAATTCATTTACTCAATCATTGTAATTAATCATTAATAAATCAATAGTTAGACCAGAAAAAGTTAATCTTCCATTCTTCCTATCTTTCTGTATTTTTTCCAGTCTTTCTTCCTCCCTCCTACTTTTATTTTGAGGAGGTTTTGAATTTTAACTTGAGGTTGATGTATCTTTAAAACTTGTCCCTTTCTTGGAACCATTTCCTCTGATTTAGAGCCCCCATATCGACTCTTCTTGCTTATATAATCAGCCAGTTCATAGAACGAAGAATTGACTCGATAAGATTTATCAGTTTGCAAAGAAAAGTCCAAAACCTTTGGTCAGTTTCTACTCCTTTCTGCTCCAAATTATATTTTTGAAAAGTTCTGTCAGTTAATTCCAAAAGGAAGAAAGTTTGAAGATTCTTGAGAGCCAGCCAGTTCCAGCTTCTCTGTTTTGGTCAAAATGTCTCCTGCATTGTCATTGTGTTTTCCTTCAAAAACATCCTCAATTGCTTTTATATCCTCCACCAGTTCTGTAAGTTTTTGTTCCATGATTGCTGTTTGGTTATTAATAATTGCAATTTGGTTATTCATGGCTTCCTTTATAAATTCTGTAAGTTCTCTAAAAAAATCCTCCTGGCTCTGTGAATCAATTCTCTGTATCATTTCTGACGCCATTAGAGAGCCTCCACCACTTTCAGGAACTCCTTGCTTGGAAGCCATATTATTATAAAAGAATTTTTCTTTTCACAGCCATAAAATCTCTTGAACAGCTTTCTCAAATTTATTTGTGATTTATCAAGCAAGATAGTCTTTTCTACACCCAGCTCTCAAATCCCAGCAACTTAAATCCAGTCTTTGAGCACAAATCTGTTAACAAGCACTTTCATTTCTAACTTTCATTTTTACGCCCACAACGAGGACGCCATTTCCACCTCCAGCTCAGAAAAATCAAGTAGAAACAAGGTATCCCAGGAGTTAAGCACAATACTTGCAAAAGCTTGTTCTCCTGCTTCCGTTCTGTCTGCTTTTGAATTCAATTAATCTCCTTTTTGACAGCAGAGTTGGTCGTGACGTCTGGCTCCATTTAAAACGGAGTCGCCTTGGATCCGGAGCTTCAGTGGGCTGAACAGGGAGCTCTCACCCTCCATGCCCCTGGAATTGTTCAGGGGCTTCCGGGGAGCTCTACCCTCGCCCACCAGCTCTCCTCTCCTTCTTCTCCTGAAGGAGAGGTTTTCAAGCCGTCTGACAGCTGATTAACACTGTCAGAACGGCTCCAATGGAATCGCGGGGCTGGCGGTCCGAAAAGACCGTCCGCGACGCCGACGGTGCCAACCAGAAGCCTCGTTAAATCATAATTTTTAAAGAGCAACTGTTATCTCTGCTACTCCTTTGACCCACTGTTGACTCACCGATAGTCCCAGTGTTGCAGAATATACAGCCTCATGCTACATAACTAAGCTCCATTTCATGCTGAATAAACTAAATTATTTATGTATCTTAAATAGAAAACTATCTTACGATAGATTTTTACCTCAAAAGTTTTTTATTAAAATAAATTCGATAAAAATAAAAAAAAATCCGATTTAAATGAAAAAAATCTGATTTTTTTGATTTTTTAAAAAAAATCATTGATTTTTATCCACCGTGGTTAGAAATCTATTTGATTTCTCACTTGGTGCAGAATTAGTTTTCCAGTTGATATCACGGTAATTGAAGTCCCCCATTACTATTATAGTGTGTTTCATGCATATATTTGTTAGTTGGTTGGTTGGAAAAAAGGACATCTATTTTTTCTGCTTGATTAGGTAGCCTGTTTGATTGGGATGCTTGAATATGATAAAGTAAGAGAGGCAGTAGGTGGCTGGAACATGCTGTAAGAAAACGATAGTTGTGAAAAAGAGGAGAAAGGAAAGGGATACCAAAAGGATATTGTACAATGTGTATAAATAGGAAAAGATTGTTGTTGAGACTTTAGTCAAAGATTACATTATAAAATTCAGCAAAATATAATGCACTTGTGAAAAATGCATCTATACCTGATAGATGCATGAAAAATGCATTTATACCTGATATTGGGAGCAAAAGGAATAGGGAGGATTAGTGTCATAAATGTTCTTAGAATGATGCTTGGCAGAATCCTGATTAAAAAAATATGAGAGATGACAGCAAAATTTGAGAAGTGCAGCTAGGTGAAAGTACATAGACAAACATTTGCTCTTCAACATTTCATTCAGGAATGTGTGAATGTGAGAAAGAAATAGATTGTTCTATTTCAGAGAAAAGGTATGATAAAGTATGTACTGTTGTATGCAGACAATATGTCGTTTTTTTCTATTCTTTCTGAAAGGGAAGATAAAGTATGTATCTACTTGTGTACTTGAATGTTTTTATGTATGAGAATGATTTATATGTAGCAATACAGTGACCTATTGTTTACTATATGCAGATTAGGATCAGTTTATAAAGATAATACTGTACCTTAATTTGCAGGCAGGCAGTTAATTCAAATCAGAAGTTATTAGTTTAATATTCGATGAGGCTGCTCTTCAGAATGTGGCTACTGCTTCACATATTCATAAATGCACACAATGTTATGTACCATAAAAATATTTTTAATAGGAAGGGGGAATATGCAGGATAAATTTCAGTTAGAATTGACAGTCCCAAGGGATGAAATAGGGAAGCTGAACATTGCACATTTCAGGTAATACATAAGATCTGATCTATACATTTCCAACATTTTGTGATAATGCATAATGGTTGTCCATATAGCAGCTATACTCCAATGTTGAAATGCAAAAAGTAAGGTTTATCTGCTAATTGCTTAGTCAGAACAAAATACCAAATTTTATTCTAAGTAACCAGCAGATAAACCTCATATTTTGCATTTTAATACTGGAGACGTTTTGCTTAAAACTTTCTTAATCAGAACAAAATAACGAATTGCTAACTGTACAGGTAGTCCTTGATTTGCAACCACATTTGGGATTGGGATTTTGGTCACTGATATGGTTGTTAAGAAAATCATCATATGACCAGATTTTTGACCATTTCTGTTGATAAGCAATAAGTGAATTCTGTGATCATGCAGATCGTTAAACAAATCCACCTTCCCCTGTTGAATTTGCTTGTTGAAAACCAGCTCCCCAAACCTGGGAAAATTGCAAATTGCAATTTTTTTTTTATTGTTTCCTAGGAAGCTTGGTATTCATACAAGTCTGCTATCAACAGGCCCATAGAGATAAACAACATTTGCACAACATTCAAAAGAGACTATAGGAACTTCTAACTCAGACAAACAGCCAAGCAGTAAACAACAACCTAACCAAGAAACTACCAAGGAGAAAAACCCCACCTACACTGACAGGGCAAGCTACTGTATATAAGCCGAGAGCAAACCCCACTCCCTTCTAGCCGTAAAGATGTTACATCTGCAACCAAACAACCAAGGTCAGAGAGCAGAAACGACTCCACAGTGTAGGATCTAATTTGAGACAACCCTTGAAATTGGTTCAAATCTGTTGGATTTGTTTTTTATTTTCCCCTACTGTATTCTCATTCATTGAGAAAATATCAAATATAGGCCAGAAATAAAATAGTGAAACTAGGTATTTCTGCTCAATTTTGGCTTTGGCCTCATCTGCATGTTTTGGTCCTGCCCATCATGCAACCCCCAATAGATTGCCTTCAGGGATTGCAGCTCTTAACAGGAAGACAGAAAAAAGATGTTGTCTGTCCCTGGCAAATATTATGGATTAATCCAACTAATGCTGATAAGAATCATCACATGATTGGTTTAGCAATCTTTGGGACCTACAATGCATTCAGACTGAAAACAGTCTAGGTCTAGGAAATACAGTAGGAAAAAAGAATTAAGCTCAGTTAGCTTTATTGAGCAAGCAGGATTAGGGTCTTACTCTTTGTCCTTTGGTATCTATGGGGACATTTTGCTGCCACTTAAAGCTGAAGCCCTGAATATTTAGAATACTCTAAAACTCTATTGTTTTAGAGTACTGCAGTAATATTTTAGGTAATATCCTTCTTCCAGATGTTTAGTATTACAGTGTATTGAATCTTAAAAGTTGGGGGTCTTGGTTTAGTTTGTTGTTATTTATTAATTGTTTTCAATATTGTATAGCCCTTATCTCTTAATTTTGATACTTTGCTTTTTTTGTAATGTTCTTATAATTTAAAAAATGGACTAGCTAAAAGTTCATTATAAATAACATTTGGACCTCTGTCTGTTGGCAACTGTGTCACACGGTGATCTTTTCAGTGCTAAACATCAGAAAACATATGTCTCAATTCTCACAACATTCCAAATTTATTAGATTTTTGCAATCTTATCCCTGAAATTTTTATATTCAAAAAAAATATATCCTGAGCTTTACCATTTGTTTTTATAACTCGTAGGCAAGACTGTAATACAAGCCTTGTGCGTGCCTGTTGGAATGAGCTCTTTACTCTAGGCCTAGCCCAGTGTGCACAGGTGATGAGCTTGTCAACTATCTTAGCAGCAATTGTCAACCATTTGCAGAACAGCATACAGGAAGGTATGTATTATTTTTAAAGGCTCTAATTGTTATAAATTCAAGGATTTATAATTGTATGTATCACTGGTACATACATTTTTTCTATGTTAATAGGGCAAAAGTGGTGTCCACTTTTAATTCCCCTTGTAATGTTGCATTTCCTTCTTTGAGTATACATATATTGAGATTAGTTTATTAGTTCAATTTATATACCGCCTTTCTCCGGAGACTCAGGGCGGCTTCCTGAGGCCTTTCTTTGAAGTTGACATTCTTGGCAGAGGGATGAGCAAATATATTATATTAGAATATAATAGAAGAATAATTTACTAAATTGTATGCCTCCCAGTGATTTTGGGAAGCTCACAATAAACAAAGAAATTTCAGTAAAATCAATAAAGCATGGCAAGTGTGACAGACCAAATGGCATGAAGCGAAGGGTTTCTCTTTATTCTCATCTCATCTCATATCAGGGATTAGGATATTACATATTTTTCATGACTAATAAAAATCCTGCATGCTAAAACTGTAATGCTATATTATTATTTAACTGCAATGTATCATTTTTTTCTCTTATAAAAAAAATATGGTGGGGTCTATTTCTGGCTAATGTACTTTGTTGTTTTAGGTTTAGAAGAACAAAAATAGCAGTTAATTTGATTTAATTTGTTAAATCCTTTCAAACTTAATTATAATAGACAGGTTCCACCCCCCCAGCCAGGCCCTCAAAAACAACACTACTGATGTAGTTCCTCTGGTCAAGGAAAGAGCAGGATATTCAGATGCCATGGAGAGGTAGGTGCCCTACGTTTGATTAAATGTAGGGCTCTTAAGATTTTCCATCATCCAAAGCTGAAGGGTATTCGAAGCAGATTTGTAAATGGAAACAAAAAATAGTAGAACTATTATCTTTATTGAAAATAGAGAGAAGCTGTTTGATCTAATTGTGGTGTAGTCAGTTTTATTTTAATGATAGCTTTATATCAGCAGGAGTAGAATACAATAATTAAAATAGTAGTTCTCTTGCCTTTAGTAGAAATTAAAGTCTGATAAAATAAGCAGTGTTGTTATTACTACTTCCTAATTAAGAAAAATGAATGTTTTACATCCTGCTGTTTGCAGAATACTTAATTTGTAAACAATAGTGGTTTCTAAAATACAGTGGCTGAAAAGACATGCAGAATAATAAGGCAGAGGTAAAATATTTTAAACATAAGTTTAGAGAGTAGCTTTTTCAGTCCCAGAAGCTACATATATGCCAGATAGGCCCACTGCCACAAATGTTCTGTCTCTTTCTCCCTTATTGATGTGCACCATCATGTATCACAGAATCAAAGAAGACAGGAAAATACTTTATCTTCATCTTTCCTCCCTGCAATATTCCTAGAGGTGTCTGTTTTTATTTTGCTTTGGAGTATAGAACTATTGATTATCTTCCACTTTGGGAGGAAAATAGATAGGATTTTCAGAGGTTCCATGAAAATGTTAAAATATATTTGAAGACTGGATTGGCCACATAGGACATATGGAAATACAACTATCACAGAACAGAAGAACAAGATAAAAACATTTCATAGTGAGATCTTTCTATAGGATTTCAGTATTAATCTGTTTTATAATAGAGAAATATCAAAGCTCTTAAATTTATACAAATTAAGTTTTACTTAACTTTTAAAAAAGAATTGAAAGGGCAATTTCTCAGCAATGGAGTGAAGCACACACACACACACACACACACACACACACACACACACAAGAATAAGTCTGTTTTCTGGATGAAAAGATCAAAATTAGAAGAATTAAGGCCTTCCTGAGTAATTCTTGTTCACTTTTCCTGTGCTGTGAATGTTGGCTGAATATAATTCCCATGCCAGTTCAAGAGGACAGATAGTTTATTGTCATTGTCATTGTCAGATCTGCCTTGTCTCTTAGGTAAGAGACATAACAACTTGCTTCTTGCTTTATAGAAATCTAATTTTCCTCTGAGTTGTCTCAATGATTTCAGTACCATCCTGCACATCTTGTGATGACCCGGGGCGTGGCATGAAAGCAACACAACCAGAGAACTGGTCTAACTCTCCTTTATTGCTCCAACTGTGCCCCCAAACATTGCCACATTCACTACAAGTCCTGGAGCAAAGCTCTCACATGCACCTTCAGAAGTCTCTGGCTGCAAGTAGTTCAGTAAACCAGGTTAACCAAACAGCAATCAGGCCAGAAGTTCAATAAGCCAGGTTAATCAAACAGCAACCAGGGCCAGCAGTCCAATAAGCCAGGTTAGCTAAACAGTAACCAGAGCAAGAAGTTCAACAAAGCAGGCAAACTGGCAAGCCCCACAAGACAGAGTACAGCAATCTCCAGGTTTTGGCAAGTGCACACGAGGCTCCACAGATTCAACGCTTGTTCCTGACAAATGCCCCTCTCACTGGCACCTCCTTACATCTCAATCCCCAGGTGTGCCTTGTGAAAGGAGACAGGGCACTCTCCTCCCTCGTAGCCAGCTCAATCTGCATTGATCTCGCCGTCTCTCTTCCCTCCTTGCTCTCGGATCAGGAGGGGGTTGTCCTTGCTCTTCTTCTGAGCTCTACCCTGTCTGCAGGCCTTACTAATTCAGAAAAGCCTTGACTCTGCCCTTCCCCAGTTTCCTCCAAGGCCAGCCTAGCAGGCAACTCCATCTCTGTCAGTTCTTCTTCCAGCTCATCTTCCCCTGAAGATTCAGACTCCAATGGGGGAATGACACATCTTTTCTGAGCAAGCAGACAGCACCATCTGTAGTGCTTCAGAAAGAAAGTTAGTACCTGTGACATTATATTTACACACACCCATACACTATAAGGTCAGTGTAGAAAATGCTCCAAATTCCTTGTACAATCTTTACTAATTTGGACTGAAACACTTTTACTAATGTCTTTTTAGAGAACACTTAGAGAAGGATGCTTTGGCAAGTATTCCAACTTTATTCCTGACTAAATATTGATGAGCTTGGCCTTCAAGGCCTAGTTTGAATTAATATAGCAGATTTATTGAATGTTGTTTTTAGACATCAGTTTCTTGCCTTCTCCAGTCCCTTGTTCACTGAAATTGAAAAACTGATTTGACCCATAAAGAATATGTAGGATCAGCTGTGTCCATCTTAATCAGTCAAACCCAGATGTTTGAAAGTTCTCTGTCTCTAAGGGCAATGAAATTATTTCAGCAGCACTGTGCTTTCCACAAAAGGGTTAATTCTTTCTAGCCTGCTCAATTCTTCTCTGACTAAAAAATATCTCATGGAAATTTCAACTTCTCCTATTTGATCATTATTAGACCCTGTATCTTTCTCTACAGCTTTTGGTTTACTTTCAGTTTTATTTCTATATCAGCTCCTTTCTTTTACCCTTGTCTACTGCTTGATTTTTCTTCATTGTCTGCATTCTTAACAAAAGGGTAAGTCTCTGCTTCTGCTTTGTTCACTGCAATTGAGAATTATAAGAATATGTAATTCAAATTACGGAGCAGAAAGAGGTGTTAAGATGCTAATTCCATTTGAAAAAGCAAGATTTTTTCTCAAATTCCATAAAGGAAATGTAATATATGAAACTGCTATCTAAATGATTATGTCCTGAAGAAGTTTTTATTTTGAGAATATATAATGTTTACTTCTAGATAAACTTTCTGGAGATCGAATAAAACAAGTGATGGAGCACATTTGGAAACTCCAGGAGTTTTGTAACAGTATGGCTAAACTTGATATTGATGGATATGAATATGCTTATCTTAAAGCTATAGTCCTCTTTAGTCCTGGTAAGCATTTAATAATGATTTTATTTCAGTATGCGTCTTTAATGCTGTTTAGATGCTTTAATACTCTGACACTAGCTAAAACAGTAAAGAAATTGGCAGCACATTTTCTAATACATTTAATTTAGGATTAAAATGTTTACTTTGACCTTTTAAGTCTTCATTTCACTGAGACTTACTGCTTAAATATGATACTTAAATTTGATATATTAGTGAAACACTTTATTAAGAGTCATATTTCCTTTTATTTTTCTTTAAATGATTTGGCAAGCAGCTTCTGTGGTTAGAGCAAAATATGGAAGACCTGTGAATAATATTTTCTAATTGCAGTCCCAAATAGAATATCATAATAAAGAGGATTGTAGTAGATGACCAGGCTGAAACTGAGGGAGGGGTCAAATGCATCATCAGTCTCAAGTCCCTTTGTGCCCACAAGAGACCTAACTGCCAATTTCCTATCATTAGTAGTTCAGATTTTTGAAGAAAGCTTAAGCTTGCACAAAACCCTTATATACGTTTGAACTGCCTGAGTTTCCTGATTTCTGCACTTGACATGGATATAATTTTCAGGTTCCTACATTTATCTTCCTGTGCTAAAGAACCATCTGAAAGTTATATTAGTTGGCCCCATTATTGATTTCAGCCTATCTGGGATTTAGAGGCACTATAAGACTATTTATGTTTTGCCTGTCAAAGAATAGTCAACATAACCATAAACTGTTCCAAAGTGGCTTAAAAGATTCTTTGTCTTAACTTTTTAAAATAAAACAATCACTCTCAAATGGTGGGAAAACAAAGGTCTACTACTGAAGAACTACTTTCCAATAAGCAGTGAGAAATCCAAAGGTAAATAGGATTCCCTAGCCCCCATAACTTATCAACATGACAATTAATTATTAAAACAGATAAGTCTCAAAAACACACAAATGTTTTCTGTAAATCTGGCTCAAGGTATAGATTTTCTTGATGAGTTATACATGATTTGTATTGTAGAACCACAAACTAGCATTTAAATGTTTCTATATTCTTAAATAGATTAAAAAACTTTCTTAATAAGTTGTAATTGAGCTACTATATACTGTAATAGATAATTACACTAAAATTGTTTTCTTTGAGGAATGATAATATATGGTCAGCAGGAGTGGATCCTGAAGGATTGAAATGATCTCCTGCTAGTTACCAAATGTTGTAATTTCTGATTTGTGTATTTTTTGCCTAGACCATATGTGCTAGCTAGAAAACAAAACAGAATTATTGGTAGAAGATGGTATATATTATCTTTGAAAATTTTGGAATAAAGTGTTTTTTTTTTTAATTTACTACGGTATATTTTTCAGTAAAAGTAAACAAACAATTAAATAATGTATTTAATTTTTAATAGATCACCCTGGTCTTACAAGTTCCAGCCAAATCGAGAAATTCCAGGAGAAAGCTCAAATGGAGTTGCAAGACTATATTCAAAAAACTTATCCAGAAGATACTTACAGGTATTGTAATATTATGTGGTTGTTTGTTTAATTCTAAAGATTTTTGTTTCTTTGTTTAGTTCTAAAGGTTTTGTTTACTTGCTTTCATGTGATCTTTGTTTTCAGTTCCTAGATAATTTTTGAAATAGACTTCCATTGGATTGAACTATAAATAATACATTTACTTTCAGTCAAAAAACAATGACAGGTCAAAGTGTTTAACATTATATACCATTTTTATGTTATTGAGTTATTGAACAAACTTTACTATTCAGAAGTGAGTTTCATTAAATTCAATGAAAATAATTTCAAAGTATGTATATATAGTATATATTTGAGTTGGGACCTGTCAGTTTAATTTCAGGATGTTAACATTTACAGATGCTACCACTTGAGCCTTGCTTTCCTCCATAGTAGAAAAGGTAAAAATAGTTCTCAGTTTATGACCATCCTTTTAATGATAGTTTAGTTATGATAGCCTTAGAAAAAGTGTCTTACAATCTGTACTCATACTTACAACTATTATAACAGCCATGCAGTCATATGATCACAAGCACTAGGTGCTTGATAATTGGCTTACATTTATGACCAGCTGCAGTAAGCAGTGATCCTGTGATCATAATTTACTACCTTTTTTTGTCAATTTCTAGCAAAATACCCCCATTGGGGGAGCTGAGTTTATTTAACCATAGTAATTTACTATCATAAAAATTGTCGTGAAATCATATCCATCTCAGCTTGCCACCACAACAACCTATGATGGAAATTCTGGTCCCAAGTTGAGGACTTTTTGTACATAATTAATCAACTTAATATATTATTCCTTTTAGTGTTAAATAGAGGGTCCTACGGCGCATTAGGTCATCCTTTAAGAGTAAAGTAGTGCAATCTGATGTGCCAAAACGTACATTAAATTTCAGGATGAGCATTTTTTTTTTACCCCAATGCCGGTGTGGTGGTTAAGGCATCAGGCTAAAATCTGGGAGATTGAATTCTAGTCCTGCTCTAGGCACAAAGCTGCCTTGGGCCACTTTCTCTTAGCCCCAGGAAGAAGGCAATGGCAAACTGTTTTGGAAAAACCTTGCCAAGAAAACTGCAGGCAGTCTCCAAGAATCAGACACCATTGAATGAAATAAGAAAATGTATAACAGAATTAGAAAAATAATTGCAGGGGCAAATACATTTCAGCAATAAATCAATGTTTACTTACCTAAACAGGCAGCACGTACTGGTAAATTGAGTTACATTTTTACATGTACCACTGACTTTCTTATTTCAGGCTAGCTCGAGTTCTAGTTCGCTTGCCAGCTCTTAGACTGATGAGTTCCAGCATTACGGAAGAACTCTTTTTTACTGGCCTCATTGGAAATGTTCCAATTGACAGCATCATCCCCTACATCCTGAAAATGGAATCAGCAGAGTACAATGGTCAAATAACAGGATCGTCTTCTTAGAAGGAATCAGCTTATCCTGGTGGACCTGAATACTAATTTACTGATTCCTTGGGATAAGGTGTATAAAATGTTTTCAACACTTTTCATTTTCTTGTTAAAAATTCTTTTATTCAAAAGCAAGGTTAAAAAAAAAACTACAGTACTTTTTTCTAGGACCTGTTTCTGCAAGAACAAATATTTGAATTTCTTTTCCTGAAAGGCTACAGTGAATTGATAAATATATATTTAATATGCCTTTTTATTTAAGCATTATCAATGAGTACACTATAGCTTCTCTTATGACAGAATGCACATTAAAAAGAAGTATATTCAGAACTTTAGCTTGGATTCAAAAGGTTCCAAGATGTCTTCTGCAAAGAGACTTCCCTTCCCCCAGTCTCAGCCCTTGTTCTCTCCCCCTCTCCCAAAATGAAATGCCACTCCAGGACAGCATGAACCATAGCATACTAGCCTGTTGGAGAAAAAAAAATGTTTACAAGATTCTTTTGAGCAAACAGGGCTTTGCTGGAAATGTGCTTTGAATTCAATCTATATTGTGTGCATACATGTTCACTCACATACATGCAGATAATTTAAAGTTAGCAAGATATAGAATGGTCAGCACTTCCAAAGAATGTTTTATGAAAGTAAGACATTACCTTCATAATCCTGCTTCCTTGAATAGGGTAAATGAATAGCATTTTAATTACAGATGTATACTAATGATTTCTATGAAAACTTACAGCCATGGCAGACAATCATTTATGCTACAAAATTTTTAATTGCATTTGTTTATTAATAACATTATTCTTTTAAGGATGTTTGAATTAAATTCTGCTAAATGAATAGAAATGTTTATAGCATAGAAAAAGCATAATGTTTATGGCTCAACTGTAAACTTGATAGACTATAGAAGTTATTTACACCGAAAAATAGCACACTACTTATAGTGAAGCACTTCTGAGAATTTTAAGATGCTTTATGCTTGTTTGCCAATAGGTTTAAAAAAAAAAACAAACCTGGGACACATCCATCAGTTTAAGTAAGACCCACATGCCTTTTATGGATAGATCAACTTAAAAAACAAATTTCATACTCATTCCTTCTGAGAATCACTCATTCCTTCTGACTGACTTTGGCACAGTTCTGAGATCACTAAATTAGTGCGGAATCTATTGATTACTGAGATGTTGCTTCTCTGGCAAAAGAGTCCTATAATCAGTTTGGAGCACTCCAATAACAAAGTGGTTCAACGTTCTTAATGATCTGCCAAAGCAATCTTAGAAAGGTGGGATGAAAGCAAGAAGGAGCTGTAATAGCAGCAGTGAAAGAGAATACACATAGACCAGGGGTGTCAAATTCAAGGCCCGGGGGCCGGATCCGGTCCGCAGGGTGCTTAGATCTGGCCCGGGGGGCTGCCCTGGAAATAGCGAAGGACCGGCCTTGATCTCTCTACCAGCAAAAAGGGAGCGTGGGAAGGCTGTGTGCGGCCCTCCCAAGCTTCGTTTTCACTGGCAGAGGGTTGCAGGAGACCATCGCAGCCAAAAACGGAGCTCGCAAGGGCCGCTCTATTTTTGCTGGCAGAGGGTTGCAGGAGGCCATTGCAGCCGAAATGGAACTTGGGAGCCCACTTTTGTTGGCACAGCGCTCGGGCCACCACAGGCGCCTCCGACATGAGTGACATCGAGCCCCCCAACCCTGATGCGGCCCTCAATGAAATCGAGTTTGACACCTCTGACATAGACTAACTTCTTTTGGTATGTGTTTGGTGATGTGGCAGAGGGTTTGGCTAGAACAGATCCTGGGTTCTGCCTAGCCTGGTCATCAGAGAATGGTATGACATCATAGCAGGGAAGCTTCTTATAGTCCCTGCAATAGTATTCCATGGGACCATAAAGTTGTATTCTAAGAATTCAGATTCTGATTCATTCATTTTCTCAGTTTGCAATACGTTCTGAAATATATGCCATAATTTCTATAGAAATGATGTCCATAGTATAGAAAAAAGAATAGCCATGTATTTATTTGTATTATGTTGTATCTGTTTTCCCAATATTGCATATGTTCTGGAATTATTCAGAATCTGATAAGAAACCACCTGGAGTCACGGTACTAAAAATGCTATGTACAATGATCTGTCAAAATATTAAGGCTGGCCAATTCTACTCATACCCAGTACTGCTTTTAGATTTCATATTATATTGCACAATATTTTCAAATCATAGTTATAATTTTTATTTCATACATGTATCACTTTTTTCAAATTGACTTTTATATGAAAACATATTTCAACAAGTATGTCATTTATACTCATTGTTAAGTATATGGGTGGTTTCAGTGAGCATTTTAGTAGAGACATTTTATAGTGAGTATTTTATAGATGTTAATAGATGCAGGTACCAATGAAGAATAAGAAAGGTTAGTACAATTTAATAGATGAACATAAGTAATGTAGTCTTACAGGTCTCTTTCCTCAAAAAATATCACTGAACTCAGCTTACTTCCAGTATGTGTTTATACTGCATAATTATAATTCATTCAACAAATTCCTAGATATACTCAAATATTTTATATTTAATTCAACTTAATTCATAAAACACTGTTACACAGAAGCTGAATTACTATACTCCCTGATTTTGCTTAAACAGGAGCTTAATATAATTTGCACTGGAAATACATTCTATGTACATACATACTATGACTATAGATTCATTGGGAAGTACTGGAAAGTTAGCTGTTGTATAATATGTGTAATACTATATTTTTAAAGTAGCAAGATCAGTTAGAAATAGAATTGAGTCTGTCCTGGATCATAGAGCATAGATCATAAATCTTAAAACTAATTATAGGCCAAATTTATAAAGTTAAAAAATTGGATAAGGAAATATTATCAACTGAAATTATGTTTGAGCTCAATTTTTATGAAATCTGCAGAATAAATTATGTACACTATTTTTATTCTGATAATTTATAACGCTAACATATATTAAAAGATATTGTTTTACAACCCTGATTGGTATGGTGACACATATTTTTAAAACTATTAGAGTATATATAATTATGTATATCTAATAAAAATATATGCAATTTGAATAATATAAAAATAGTAGTTTTGAAAATAATACAGTGCAAAAAGAAATAATTTGCTGAATTCTGTACCAGATTAGATCCTCCATAAACCATTAATCAGATATTAATTTCGTTCTCTTGTATTAAGTTGAATAAAACTAGTTTACATCATTTGTTTTACTGAACTAGAGTTTGGACCAGCCAAAATACATTTTAAATAACATTAGTATTTTAATCGCATTGAGATGCAATATTTCAATTATTTATTTACTTCCCATTTCACCTAGCTGGTGTATTATTATAAAAATGTTTCTATAGTTATTCATTATCATAGCAGAGATATGTAGTAGATCTCACAACTACGGTAGGAATTATTTTTACATTTATGTTTTTCACTGCACCCAAGACACCAAGCATTTTTTTTTTTTTAGTTTTTTTGGGAAGATACTGTAATAATGAACTATTTCAATCCTTTTAAACCAAAATCCTTTTGGTTTTTATAAGAGCTCTGGAAATTATACTAGATGCTATGTAAAGCATCTAGAATTTCCAATTTTCAAGGAAAGAAATGTTGCACAGAAGGGCATCAGAAAAAGGATATGCAATATAGGCCATCCTTCATGCACAACTTGTTGGAATATGTTTTCTGAATATAATTTTCTTTTTAAAAGTAAGCATTACTCTTATGTGCACACTGAAAATCTCTCAGTGTGTTTGGAAGAGTTTTGCTTTTGTTTTTCAGATGGTAGCAGCTACCAGTATACTACAAGAAACTATTGATTTGGGTGCTTGTAGAAATAAACATGACCACTGAGAAACTACCATTCAGACAGAAAACAAAAAATAGTCTTTTGTTTATCTACATTAGAATCCATTAGGTTCTATCCAGTATCACATAATAGAAGTTACTCTGCTTCTCTTCTATTTGCATTTTCCAGATCTGCTTTAAAGTTCTGCTAATCTACACCAGATTTGCAGAGCTGCTATGAGTAGAATGAATGCTCAGTGGGTAATTATCCTTGGGTCATGCGCCTGTTATCAGTGAAAGCAATGGAGGTTTACCTAGTTGGTGTCATATAATCCTGACCCTTTGTAATTTAAGCTTAAAATAATTATTGAAGGATGTTTTATCACAAAGTCATAGCACTTTTAAAAATTGTCAGTAAGTGGAAACTTTAATATCTATTTCTCTGAAGGTGGACATTTGAGATGATTACTGTTACCAAGCACACTTATTTGAAAGCAGGATCTCTCAGATTACTGGAATTTAAATATCCATGTTGAGGATCTACATTTAAAAGATGTCCTGAATAGACGGTCTGTTGATAAATTGGAGTTACGAATTTTAATTTATTTCAATGGACTTGGACATGCATGACAATAAGACTAAAATCTCCTTGCTATGGGAGAACTGTATGGTAACTGACAAACCATTAAATAATACAGTTTTCTTGAAGATTTAATTAAATAAAAGTGAATTGTAATTAAATATAAGTAAAATGAATTAAATAAAAGTAAAAATTGTAATTTTAAGTATGTGTACATAGGTGGTTATTATCAAAAATAATTAGATATGTCATTTAGAGTTCAGTTCGAATATGCCATATAACAGGAAAAGTGGGTTGTGTTTTTTTTTTAAATCTTAGGACTTGACCAAGCTCTTGAGCACAATCAAAATAGTGCTTTGGATGCTGGCCATATTTATTTGTTTGTATGATGTTTATGTGTTAGTTTCTAACTTTGTTCAGTACATGTACAGTGTAATATAAAATGTGTATGTATGTATGTAAAATTATGTACAGTCATACTCATATATACCAAATTTCTATATGTTAAAAAAAGATTTATAATTGCATTGCAAAGCTTGAGCTTCCTACATTTTATATTTTGTTCAAAGCTTGATACAAACATATGCCTCCCTCTCCTTTTTCTCAGTAGGGTGGGCTATTGTTTTTAAACCTAGGATGTAATTGCACTTTGTCTTAAATACTGAAAGAAACTATTGAACAGTTCCAATTTTATTTGTTAATATTCAAAAGCCCAGCTGAAATTATGGAGATTGTGCAGTGACGGTGGTGGTGAACTGTGGACCATAAACCTTTCTGTATATTCTCAATGCCTGCAAAAGAGGCTTTTTGTATTTTTCCTGAGCTTTTCTTTTGTATAGTCGTCTTTTTCAGCATATACATTTTGATCATTGTGTATTTTAATGTTATCAGTACATCCCTTCCAAGTTGCTGATTAAAATGAACAAGGCTGTCACAACAGATGAATCTAATTTTATATTGTTAGCTGTCTTATTTAATGAGCATAAGGCTCATAAACACTGTGTCATGAATGTCACTAACTGATTCAGATATGATATCTTCAAAGTAATACTTTTCTTTCTTGTGGAAAAACTGGCAAAATAACCATCTTAAATTTAAGTTTTTGAATATACAAGTGGTATAAGATTCTACCTCTTGTGGTAACATCTCGTACCACTTCATGCTACCAGTGAAGTCTTGGAGGATGTTTCAAGTAAGCTCTGAAGCGAACTAGTGCATCCCAAATTTTTGGTTTCACTTTCTATTACCTTTGATTCCTCTCCAGCCTCTATCTGTAAAATTTGGGAAGGGAGAATGTTGTCATATTATTTGGCCAGAAGTTGCATGTAAAACATTGTATTATATGGACAACTGAGTCCCTTGGGCATAGAAATGGGATAGAATGGCATAGAAATGGGATAAATTAAATTAAATTAAATTGCATTATTTCTGTCTTTTTTGAAAATTCAGGTAGTTTGTAGTGTATGGAGAGGCAGGCCTTGATGGGAAACTTGCATTTTTTTACTTTTAAAACAGCTTTTTTCTCCATGCCTTGATAACTACTTCCAAGTGTGGTTAAAGAAGAGTGTTAAAATCCTGCTCTCGGGCATTTGAGGATCAATTTTCATGGAGCCATACAGAGAAAGATTATGAAAATGAACGCTGCTGATAAAGTTATATATAGTGTAGCACTTGCCTAATCGGCACTTAAAATACTTGAGTTGTAATTGAAAGTCTATAAAAAATATCAAATGAAGTGGGATGCAATTCTGAAGAATTCCTAAATATTTTTGAATTTATATTTTTCTGTTTTCTAATCTGTTTTAATAATTTTTCTTTGTTTTAAAACCATTTTTGGTTAAAAGCATTCATTTTAAATTGACTGAAACTGAAATTCTGTTTCATAGTTACAATAATTGGATTCATCAGCCATTCCATTTAAAATTGAATAGAATTTGTCCATTTCTAATTCTGTGAAAGATTAAAAAATAAGAGTTTTTGCTTATTTGAAAAGCTTGCTTGGAATATGTGTAAGAGACGGCATTTCTCATTCACTGGAAGCAGAAAGAATCCAAGAATTGTAGGGAATCATCCTGATACTGCTGTTCAGACATGATAGCTTTAACTTTTTGCCAAACCTGTTTACACAATGCAGTAGCAAAATCAAATACGTTGTTAGAAGAGTAAAAGTAACTTGGTACTAGACGTATGATACTGATTTCATATTCTAGTCAGTTTAAAAAAACAAAACTAAACCAACAGCTAGATAAGTTTTACTTGTGTATTGTCCAAAAGATAACAGCAATCAGTACCTTATTTTTTTGGTATCCACAGAATTTATATTCTGAAAAGGCTTCCATAATTATGTACTAAGTATAATGTAAAGCCAATGTTCTCAACAGTTTTATAGTTGAAAAGTAGTACTTATGTTTACAATTGTAAGCATTTGAAACTCCCTCAAGCATTAAGCTTGTATGAAAACTAATGTATTTGCCATAAAAAGAATTGTGATAATATCCAGGGTTATGTTTTATAGCTCTGTCCTTTGTACTGTTTATTAAAAAGTCTACTTTTTTTTAGTTCAGGTTTAAAACCTGCTGCTTCTTCTCAGTTTCTTTTGTGAAATCAGCTTTGGAAATTTCATGACATTTTAAGTTTTTTTTTATCTTAACTTTTGGATCCAATCAATGTCTTCAGTTTGGAAGATAAATTTGCATTGTTGTGTGTGTATAGAGAGAATTGCAGTGCATGCTTATGCATTTTATTAAATGCTGTCTAAATGTGTCCTTACATTGTTGTGGCTTAATGTTGCAGTCTACAAGAAATTTATACTATTACAATAAATAAAAACTCTTATGCAGCTTTTGACTTCCTTTTAATATTTTTTTAAATATTCATGGCAGTTAATGATGACTGTGTGGCATTTTGTTAACATTGCTTGAAACAATAAATTCTCCAAAGTAGAATTCCTCGAACAGAACTGCCCATCTCCCTTGCAGGGGAGTAATGTTTCAGAAAGTGTGTGAGTTGGGAATAAGGGAACAGCAGCTTTGAAAAGTCAACCATCTCTACTGGTTTAAGTCTTTAGATTTTGGTCAAATATTCAAGTGCACAGCAATGAAAACACGGTTTAAATGTATTCTCTGCCACACCTGTATATGGCAGATACTGGAATAGTCCTTGACATGCTCAATTTTGCTTTTTAACTAAACTTTCTTCCATTAAAAATGATTCATTTTTAAAGATACTATAGTTAATATCTTGCTAGCTGGGGAATTCTGGGAGTTGAAGTCCATATATCTTAAATTTGCCATGGCTGAGAAACGCTTATCCTAGGAAATGGCATTCTATACTGGGCTTAGAAACTCAGTAGAGCCAGTTCTGATTGGCATGGGCTGACTCCTATAAAGACATTAGGAATTCAGTTCTGCATTGGAAATTAAGAAACATCTTGGGAGAAAACCAAGGTAAATTACTGATATGGTTTTATTAAGAAAACCATCCTTATTTACCCCGGAATTCAGGTCAGCTCCAGGTGTTTTCTGTAGCGATGAATCAATTCTTGTTAGATACATATATACCAAATGCAGGAAAGAGCAGCACGTTAGAGCTCTTTCTCCAATTTATCCCCACAATTAACTGGCTAGCTAGACCGCATAGCTGGCCTCGAATCACCCAATTAGCTTCTGTGGCTGAAATGCGGACCTGGTTTCCTCATCCCCAGTTCCATGGTGCACTTACTACATCAAGCAAAGTGAGCTGTGATTTAACGAATTAGGGATAACCATACTTTTTTTGGGGGGGGGGGGTGTCTGTCTCTACCGTTACCGTTGTGGCTTCTTGTAAGAGAAAACTGCTTTTTTTCGCAACAGCTGAACAAAAGGTCAAATGCAGGAGGCGTCCTACGATCCACATGGCTACCTCTTAACACTCCAAAACTCTTGCGCGATGATTACTTCAGAAATTCCTTTTAAGTCTTGGGGATATTGCAACCTATAAAGCGGCCGTTGGGGTGAGATTACCCGACTGCCCACTAGGACTGTCCCACCCCTTTAGGCTGCCAAAATGTAGTGACTTTTGCAATCCAGCCTTGGTACCGCGGCTGGACTCTCTTGGGCTTCTTCTGCTCGCGCGCCATAGATTCAGGTCCTCGATTTTCCCGCCCCACCCGCCTTCTCGGTGTGTGTGTGGGGGAAAACTACACTTCCCATGGCCCTCTGCGCCGATCGCCTCTTCCTCTTTGTACCGTACGGCGGTTTCGGTGCGAAGCTAGAGACTGAGCCGGAAGTCGCGTTCTCCGGAGGGGTTTTGTGCGGGGCTGCCGGTGCCGTCGCCGTCATGCCTATGAAGGGCAGGTTCCCTATTCGAAGGACGCTGCAGTACCTGAACCAGGGCGACATCGTCTTCAAGAACTGCGTGAAGGTGATGACGGTGAACTACAACCTGCACGGAGAGCTCAACGAGGGCGCCAGGTGAGGGTCGCTTTCCTCGCTCGGGCGCGGTTCGAGCCTTCCCATGGAGGATCCCGGGCTTTCCTTCCCATGCGGGGGAGCGCCGGATCTGGGCTGCAAAAAAACAGCGATGGCTGCGGGAGCTAATGGCGCCTTATTTTTGCAACCCAGATATGGTAGCCCTACTTGAGGTGGAAATGGCCTGCGGATTACGGGCACCGTTGGATTGCCGGTTTACGATTTGATCTATTCTACCGGGTCTGGCAACTTTTAAGACTTGCGGACTTCAACTCCCAGAATTCCCAGCCAGCATGGAGATTCTGGGAGTTGAAGTCCACAGGTCGTAATGGGGGTCCATACAGTCGTGCCATAGAGACTACATAGCTTCAAGTCCCAAAAGTGCTTTTTCAAGAGGCAACTGGACTTTCTGGTTTTCCTTTTGAAGGCGTTTCACTTCTCATCCAAGAAGCTTCTTCAGCTCTGGCTGGATGGTGGGGAATGGAAGGATTTAGACTCCTTGCATCCTTTTTTGCGAGCCCTTAAGGCAGTGGTTCTCAACCTGTGGGTCGCGATCCCTTTGGAGGTCGAACGACCCTTTCACAGGGGTCGCCTAAGACCATCGGAAAACACATATTTTCAGTGGTCTTAGGAATAATTTTATGGTTGGGGGTCACCACAACATGAGGAACTGTATTAAAGGGTCGTGGCATTAGGAAGGTTGAGAACCACTGCCTTAAGGCCACCTGGAGGTTTCAAGTTTACAACTGATCAAGTAATCATGATGAGCTGTTGGGGTGGGTGGGGGGAGAGTAGAGGTGACACCATACTGCCTCTCTCTGACTTTTAATTCTGCCCAAACTAATATGTTCTGAAGACTGTGCATGTGTGTGTGTGTGTAGTTTTGCTGCAACCTGGCCAGCTTTCTGAAATGAAATCTATTCCTGGGCAATATCGGTCACACTCCGATGAATACATTGCTTCTCATGCTTTTTGCTTTTTGTTTTTTACCATAGAAAATTTGTGTTTTTCAACATACCTCAGATTCAGTACAAAAATCCTTGGGTGCAGATTGTGATGTTTAAAGACATGACTCCTTCACCATTCTTAAGATTCTACTTGGGTAAGTAGAGCATTTGTCTGATTTCCCTGCACCTCTTGATGAAGTGGACTAGAAGTCTTTACTTATGCCCCTAATAGTAGATACCACTGGAAGATAACCCTTAATATTGTCTGCTGAAAGAGGAAAATGGCTCATATCTTCAAGACATTCTGGTTGACGTACCTATTTGTTAATAGAATTGTGTAAAATTGCCAGTCTGAGCTGTAATAGTTAAGCGTTCAATGTTGGTAAACCAAGTATTAGTTTGTGTTCTAACTTCAGGGAGTTTTGTTTCTCTTAGAAAAAACTGCAGTCAATAGTTTGCCTTTGATATTTTCTTCCAGGTTTTTGTTTAAATGACCCTAGTTTCTCTTATGTAGAGGTTTGAGGCAAGGGGAACTGCCCTGGAAACCTGGAGAGAAAATATACAGAAGTAGATGGAATAAGCTTTTTAATCTTTCTACCTTGTACTATTTATGGACTGGGCATGAAAAATAGATAGTCTGACAGTATACTAACTTTTCCTTCTCACGGTCATGTTTTTTAAGGCCTTTCATTCATATCAAGAAGATGTGGACTTGAACTACCACAGACATGAAGAACCTATGAACTTTTAGCTGTTCTGACAATTACAGATGGAAGTTATTCTTGCAGATGTTAGATAGATACAAAGGAGCACAAGTTCATATAGATATAATAAGCGTAAAACCCATATGTAAGGGTTATAGACTGGTAAAAATGTCATTAGCTATTCCGCCCACATTTCAAAATTTACAGAATCTTACATTTTTATTTATATGGTTCATATTTATTGTACATTGTGCTGGAAGCTCTGATTATGGTAGTTTAAGAATCCATTTAAACCATGCATGTCCAACCTTTTGGCTTGCCTGGGCTGTATTGAGTGAAAAGGAATTGTCTTGGGTCACATATAAAAATCAATATTGTTAATGTATATAAATTACGAACTTCCTTTGTTTTTTTAATTTATTTTTTTTATTATCTTGTGAGGCTGCATTACTAGCTGTCCAGGGCTATATGTGGCCCTTGGGCCGGAGTTAGACACATCTGGTTTATACTATTCGTAATTATTACAGTACCTTGCCTCCTCAAGTTCTATTGTTTTGCCCTTAGCCTTACCTTACTCATATTGTGAACAGAAAAAAGGAATTGAGTTTTACTTCTGCTCAGTCCAGCGATAATGCATTAAAAGTGATGCCCCCTGCATTCCCAACACTGGGCCAAAAGAGAAAATGCAGCAGCCTTTGGGCAGAAAACAACCTAGCTTAAAAGTAATTGATTTTTTTGAGAACCAATGGGCAGTTACAATGTGTTACAGTCAACCAGCATGGGGATCCAAGCGTGGCATGCCACCCCAGGGGTTGATTGGTGGCTTAAGGGTGTTCCCTCTGTCTTTTTAAATTCTTAACTTTGTTTTTCAACTTTGCCTATTTTTATATAGATTTTTATGTGTTTATTTGCAAAACACACAAGTTACTTAGTGAGATGGATGGCATGTACATTTGATAGATAAAGTCACCAGGACTGGGTAGTTTCAAGTACAGTTTGCCAAGTTACCTCTTGTCAAAATGATCATGCGTGTATTTTTGTATGAGAAATATGCCATATCATGGAAGTAGTTTTGGGAAAACCCACTAAATATTCTGTATGTAACCCTATTTCTCCTGCAGATACTGGAGAGCAAGTCCTGGTTGATATAGAAGAGAAGACCAATAGAGAGATAGCAGAGCATATTAAGAAAATTCTTGGTAAAAGCGAGTAAGTCAAAATAACCAAGGTCATCACGGAATCAGACTTCAGTTTTGACTGTATGGGGAAACACTCTATTTATAAGACATAATATATAAGTGCAAACTTTTCTATTTACTCATTTATGGATTTAAAAAGTGAAACAGGGAAAGGCAGCAAAGTTTCCTGTCCAGCATTATTTTTGATAGAAAACTGCATTACCTTAAATCATTAAGCCTACAGAAGTTTATTTAATATCAAATGAATTGTTAATGGAAAGTCTAAATGCTGCCATATGTAAAAAGAATTTTCAAAATTTGGGAAATATCCAGGGCAAGTGACTATAAAAACAAGTGCATCACATTATTCTCAGTTCTAGTAAAATACATCTCTCCGGTGGTAGTGAATAATTTAGGTTAGTGCAGGAGGCCACTAATTCTGTCCCCTCTACCTTTAGAGATGCTCTTCTCTTGGTAGATGGTATCAAACAGGACATAATGGTACAGGAAACTATTGCTGTACATTACTATGACAAAAACTGGATTTCCTTCACCCAAATTA